TTCAGGGAAGCTAATCGAACGCACATATTGTATGAAAGCAGGCAAGCAGAACACGTCTGCGCAAAATGGTCAATGAGCATATTTACCTATCAGCAGAGTGAGTGACAATGCAACCTGTAGGATATTGGATGACACTGATGTGGTCACAAATCCTAAGCAGACCAATCCGCCGGCTACCATGACAACGGCTCGTGGGCTCAGCCTCCGCCCCAAGGGCCCAGCTAAAGGTGCTGCAAAGAAATCATTATGCTGCTGTGTTATTGTGATAACTATGCCTTTTATTACATAGTGTCTCGTGAAAACAATTTTCCTGGGTGATGGATGGAAACTTTGACATTGAATGGGGAAAAAAACGTGCATGACTGATGATAAAAGAAAAATGGAGCAGACAAGTTTTGTTCGTAGGAGTTTTGTTCGTAGAGTTTTGTTCGTAGGTTTATTTGGAGATCGTAGGAGAGGGAAAAGAATTGTCATTAATCTTCATATGTCTTCAATCTGTGGTATTATACTGTAGTGGCCTGTAGTTTCGTCAGCGCGTGGAGCGAAAGCTAATTAATATGCAGCCCGCGAGCCACATTGTGCCTTGCGCGTACAAAGTATGCGCAGACAGAGCCTCAACATCCATTGCAAGAGATAGTCTCTTGGGGTCCACATTTCATTCCTTCATCTAGGCCTTACTTCTTTATTAATCGAGTGTAAGTTACTAATTTATAAACACTGTTTTGTTGATAAACAATGCTGATTCCAGTGGATGCAATGGTTGAGAGCAATTACACTGTGCGTTGTTTTTATGAATGGTGGAGCAATGTGTTCAGCCACGGCTTTATGGCTGTGCCCACGGGCGTTGGGTGTTCTCGAACTTTCTAGAGTACGGTCTTTATCGCCGCTGCGAACTGACCAACGCCCAGCTCGAGACTTTGGGAGCTTAATTGCCTGCATGCTCAGGCCGTCGCCAGCAGACCTAGCTGCAGAACTCATCACTGTCTGAGCTACAACACCGGGGGTTCGTTTTGAGGTGCAAACTCAAGTGCTGAGATGAGACTGATGAGTCATTTAGAATAACTACTTCATAGCATATCTGGTGTCCGCTCATCCGGGGGGGGGGTAATCTTGGTGCCTCATCATCCAATACTGGAGGATGGACCTACCACCCCACCACCAGGGGCGGCCTAGAACTCCACGTCCGGTTACAGAACCTTGCAACATCCAAAAACGGTGCAAAAGCGACAAAAGTATTATTTTTAAGTAATTGCTTCAACATAGTTTTTACAAAATAAATGTAGGCGCGGAAACATACGTGCTGAGCGATAAATTGAATGAAAATACATGCCCTTTTGCATCCAAACACATTACTGTAGAAAGCATATAGAGACATGTCATCCTACAACTGCTTAAAACGCAGGTGATTGAGCATGACTCGGCACTTTTCCATTGCTCCTCGTCACAGCCGTCCTGGACCATGTCTCAGTACTCTCGTTTGTTTATATTATATTTATAGTTTATATGTGTACTAGATTTGGTGCTTGTATAGTACACAATAGTTTGGCAGTACTGTTCCATTTTTGCTAATTCTCATGATTTAGGGGTAGGGTTGTTGAAAAGTGCGTTAGCGATCCCAATTTTCATGACAAAGCTCTTTCACCACTCAAATCAAAGCTCGTGAACGCAAGCAGTTTTCTGATTGCAAAAAGCTTGTTTTTGATAGTAAATGTAACTTTTAAACTCATTTGTGTTCCCGAAACGGGCAAGGATGGAGTGTTTCACGGGTGTCCTCATTGCAGTGTGGCCACGGGTTCCACAGATACAGGCGGTTTTGGAACAGCTGCATTTTGCCTTGTCTGCTTATTCTATCAAGGTTGTAGAAAACGGAAAACAGTTAACGCTGGGATCACATTTTGAGGGCACATAAGCCAAATCTGTCTTCCAAGGAATGGTTACAAATTTGTTGGGGGCAGGGAAGGCACAAATACCTTCCCTTGCCACTTCAGAGCAAGGTTTTCGAGTGTAAGTCTCGAGGTACACAACAACAGAAAAAAGAATTATACAGTTTTCGAATAATACGGCCCTATCCCAGGAACTATTTCTTGATTCTCCTGATTATAGTTTGCTCAAGTCAGTGAAATCCAGTTACACTGCGGGTGACATCATGACAAATCTTCTGCAGCTGAAAGAACTATCCAACTGGAACTACACAAATAGATTTCGGTTTTGGAGAGGGGCCGCGGAGAATGTTCATACGTGCGTAACCACCACGCGACTTGATCTACATATCCTAGTTTTATTTCCGTCCTCCATTGTAGCATCAAGGAGGGGAACCGAACCGCGCTTCCTATATGCAGTCCGACCCTCAGTCGAATTCGTTTATTACCATACTTTTCAACCAAATCCTAATGAATGAAGGTAATAAAAGGAATAATGCGTGTCTGAAATTATAAACGAGCAATGGTATTTAAAAGGGACGGGGCTGTTCATACAAGCCGGGGCGGGTAGTGAACAGCCTACACATAGTAATGCACAGCAGAAATAAACACGATAACAAACATCTAAGAAATCTGCTTTTCAAAAATTTGGAGAAGAGAAATGGAGGTTTGTATTGTTTGAAACCATGAATAAACCCATGGAGAGGTTCCTTTGGGAAGTAATCGTTGAAACGGAAACCAACATCATCAATATATTATAATTAAAAAATTGACGTGAAATCGACGCAAAGTGAGCAACGCCTTAACCACATGTCAATGTATCGCCAGCGGGGAGGGGGTACAGTAAAAGGTTGTTGGCAAGGTGGGATAGATATCCATTTTAGTCGAAAACCCTCGGAGAATTTCTGAAGTGACTTTGCCCTAAACGGTTTGCAGATTCTTTTTAGCGTATGGGCAAAAGGTGGAGGTTAAATAATAATCTCCTCTAAGCGAAGTATTTGCTTGTTTTTTTATCAATAATATTGATACTTATTCGGAGTACTTTTCGCTCCGCTTGTCTCGTCTCTTAATGATGCATAAACGGACTTCCTGTATAGTCCTACACTGCCTTTAAGGGGCTGTGCCTTGCACACTTAGTACATTTCTCATTGCAATTCTTCAAGATCTGCTGCCTATGAACACGTTGAGATGGCTTCCAAGTTTGACAACTTCAAGCCCTTCCAGTCTTGACTTGAGTTTGATTTTAGCCTTGAAGAATACCCAATTCAGAGTCGCCTGCCAGCTACGTTGACCTGCAGAGTCTGTGAAGAATGCCTTCGTCAGACAAAAGTGAAATGTGTTGTGTACAACGGATGTAGAATTCCGCAATGAAGCCCAACGAAATTTGTTGGACGAAATCGAAGTGTATTTCCATAGAGAATGACTGATATAATTAGGGGTTAATTTCGGCGCTAAACTTTACATTCACTATTTTTAAAGAAATCTATAAGTATCCTTACAATAGTACTGTTGGACTTACCGCAAATATCCCTACCGCATTCTACAAGGGAAAACACAGTTCCAGTGACCCAGGTATCTGTTTCGAACTCCTCCACCACGGACACCAGCAGAATGCCTAGTGATTTTAGGATCATGGAATTCATGAAGAATTGTATGAAGACTGCAGCTGTGGCAAAAATTCCTGGTGTAATTCGCATCATTGGGCCATTACCTACTGTAGGTATCGTAGGCTATATGGCGGAATGGATCCGGAATTAACCCCACAGTATAGAGGCTTGTTCAGTCTATCAGCCTGAAAACAGATGATTTGACAGTCCAACCTCCTCCTCAGCGAACGCGCAAGAGATGATCGCAGATGGCAGATTTCAGATGGCTATTTTCAAGGTTGAAAACGGAGACGGGATAACCTTTGGGCTGGTTTGGGCGCAAACTACCACCGACTACTAGTCAACTGTCAACAACGCACACGCGCAATACAGATGCGCCCGGGCGGCCCTGGTCAAAATATTTTGTAGAATGGCATCATCGCTCACAGGTTGATAACCAGTGATGCGACCATGCCCTAAGGTGATCCATGCACTAGATGGTACGTATAATTCGTCGTTCAGGTGGCTTTTGGCAGAACTATAGTTACGGAACATGCAACCAAATCCAAGCAGTAGACTTGGTGACAATGGACATTGTATCTTAAGCCATTATTTTTCGTCAGATTTGACTTCTGCCATAAAAACCCTGGCGCCTGGCATGTCTAAACGAGTCATGAAGTCGTTTAGACATGCCTGGCGCCTGGCATGTCTAAAGGAGTCATTGAGTCCCTCCTAGAGGATACTGTTCAGTTCAGTTCGCTTTATTTTCCACATAATATATATTACAGTACAGAAATAGTTTCACAAAGTGTATATATGTGGATGGGGGCCCCCAAAGAAGCAGTGCAGGTACCAATAAACAAAGTTCCACAAATACAGCACACTAAACACTTTACAAATAACACAAATAATAAAATACAGCACATGTACATGACCAAGTAGCCAATGCCTGCTGCTACCCCATGAGAAAGAAATTAATCATTACTTAAATAGTTAGTTAGTAATTTACTTTTATATTTGTGTTTGAATACGGAGAGACAGGAAGCACATTTCAAGGAAAAATCCATGGAACTCCATAACTTGAGACCTACATGTTTCACAGTAGATGGTGCGAGCTTAGTACACACACGCGAACGCGCGATGAAATTCATCACTTTGCCTTGTAAAGTGCTGATGAAAATCTTCATTTCTTAAAAACACTGAGCAAATCGATTGTTTTAGCGTTGATACATAAAAGAGCCCAACTGGAAAGAGCAGATGTCAGTGATTTTTGAAGTATTACAATTGTAAAAAAGAGGATTATTACACTCACTAAAATTAACATTACTAGTTCTGTGTAAGGTTTTTTTTTGTAATTGTAAAATTCTATTAATATGACCAACACAACTATTGCCCCTTGCAAGAATTCCATATGAAACGTATGGTAATATAAGGGTGTTGTATAGAACCATTAATACATCATGGGGAAAAAACGTTTCATTTTAGAGATTATACCTATGTTTCTCGATATAATAGTGGCAATGTGATTAACATGCTGTTTCCATATAAGACCATCCTTACTGTATACGCCCAAAAATTTGATACAATTTGTTTTTGTAATGTTAATTCCATCCACATTGACAACAGGACCTTCCTGATAGTGCCTTTTACTAAACAAAGGAAATCCGTTTTTTAACATTGAGAGTTAACTTATTAGCTTTCAATCCAGGATGATACTTGTTCCATTTCTTGGTTAACGGTATTGAAAAGCATATCTATATCACGGTGGCTGTAAAATAAATTACAATAGTATATTAGAAGATTTATTAAAATTATTGATATTACACTGAAAATAACAAAGGTCCCAAAATGGAACCCTGAGGTACGCCACAGTATAGATTAGGAGGAAGAGATTGGGTACCATGAACAGATACAAATTGCTGACGGTTAGACAGGTAGCTTCTGAACCATTACAGGGCCACTCCTCAAATTCCATAATACTCCAGTTTAAACAAAGGTATGTCATGATTAACTGTGTCAAAGGCCTTGGATAGGTCCAGAAAAATACCAATTGTTGATGAAGAATCATCTAAATCAGTAGATGTTTTATCAATAAGTTGAATCACAGCATGTGTAGTTGAATGATTTGCACGAAATCCACACTGGTTATAAGATAATATTGTATTTGTCTAAAAACTGCATAGTACGTTTGTAAATGAAGTAAGTACAGAAATTGGTCGGTACTTACTGACAACAGTAGGATCACCAGTTTTAAAAATCGGGGTTACCCAAGCAATCTTCATGTCATCAGGCACTACGCCAGAAGAAGTATTTATGACCCATGTCAAGGGCAAAAAGATTACATGGATCACCTGTTTGATCAATGAGCTATTAATTAGATCAAAACCTGCTCTCGTTTTGTTTGGTAAATTACTGATAATATCAAGAACTTCATTTTCTGTGACTGGAGAGAGGAATGGGGAATTGGGGTCAGCATTCAGTAAATAATCAGTGAATTTAGAATCATTGGAGTTAATAGCATTTGAGAGTTTTTGGCCGATGGTAGAAAAATAGTTATTAAAATGATTTGCAATGAATTGTGGATTACTAACAGCAATGTTAATTAGATTAATTTGGGAATGCAAATTATTCATAAGCACGCTATTAATTATTTTCAAAGTGTTTTTGATATTGCCCTTTCCCCTCTCAAACTGTTTGGAATAATATTGACGTTTGGAATTACGAAGGACATTGACAAGTATATTCTTATAACGTACATTATTGCAGCGACTGGAGTCGGTGGGATTGGCAACGTATCTGTGATAAAGCTTATTCTTATGATTAATAGATTTACATAAACTTGGAGTTACCCAAAGGGATGTAAGGGGTTGATTTCCTTATTTTGGGTTTATTCTGAATAAAAGGAATCTGTTTATTGCCACTTGCTTGAAAAATATTTACAACTCAGATTAATAAAGGCAGAGTTGGCATCATTTGCATGTCAAACTGATCCGATATATCTGTAATTATAATGCCTGGGTTTGGTTGGGGTAGTATATTGGAAAAACAATTGTCAATAAGCGTAACAGAAGTGTTTGTTACTCTGTCTGGTTGACTGATTAATGGCAGGCAAGAAGCTGTATCGACAGTGTCTAAAAATTGTTGCGGCTGACTGCTATTGTCACCGTGACAGCTGAGTAAATTCAGGTTAAAATCACCAGTAATTATGAGGCAGAGTTATTTTTAATTACTTACATAGTTAAACAAAGACTGGGAGCATGTTGAGACTTTGTCAAAATTGGCATCGGGGCGCCTTATGTGAAACTCCTACAATAATATTTTTTAGCATTATTTGGTGCAATGATTTCTACAAACGTTGAACCAAAGGAGTCGTTATCTATACTATCAAGATCAGGTCTTGGAACATATTGGAGGTTAGACGATATGCAAATAGCGACCCCACCATAATAAGTGCACCAGTTTTAGCAACTATGTTTTTAGTCAATAAAGTATATCCAGGTATGTTAGGACAGTAGTAAATGCCTCACTGCTTTCAGTAACCGTAGAATTGAATGTGAGTGGGCTCAAAAACCTCTGATTTATTATAACAGTCAACGATTTTGTTGGTGAGATGATTATCCAGCTGTGTACAATTGGGAAATTTCAATTTATTTCCTCACATTCATCTGGTGTGAATCTTGCCGTGGGTTATTCTACATGTTTCTAGCTTGGGGCAATACCTCCATTGTTGTGTTGTTTTTTCCCCTTCCTAAAAAGGTTTTCCTGTGTAATTGTTTCATTTGCCCGCAGTTGTCTCACATTTTTTAACAGTCTTCGGGGAATAAACTGGTGTGAAATTCTTAAACTGTAGTTTATTACTGTTGTTAAGCTTATCATGGCTATAAATTAAAGAAACCTCGTTTGGTTTTATGTTCTAATTTTTATATCTCGGTGCAACGATATATTTCCATAATTTATTGCTTTCCCTTATCCCTTTTAAAGCTATTGTTCTTGTGCAGTTTTTTGTTTAGTTTGTAACTGTCCTGGTGCTTAAACAGTCCTTGTGGGACGGACTTGTGTGCAATCTTTAATTGTAGCTCAAAATTAATAAGGATGCGAGCTCAACATGGATACAATTCATGCTCTTAAACTGTGTTTGTTTTCAGTAGTATTTTAATGTGTCTATAATTAATACTTACCTTGCCAAGCCTTTTCAGGGTTGCTCCGCTGTTTTTTCGCCTGAGTCTAGGTCCCAACCTGCCTTACCCTCTTTTTTCTCTCCCGTTAGTCTGATGTTTTTGTCATTTGTTTAGAACTCTGTATAGTGAATGTTTTAATTGTTGTGTGGTTTAATGTTTATCGATGTAAACCTTTCCATAAACTTCTTACTGTGTCACAGATGTGAATTACAGTAAAGATATTTCAAACCTGTCCTCGATGACCGAGGACTTGCCCACGTGAGGCATGCGCCACGTAAACTCTTATCTGTACGTACGGTGGACTGCAACTTCAGTTTCTGGAACCAAAATGGCTGTTCTTTATGACCGTGTGCAGTACAGCGTGCAGCTATTGTGTGCTAATTGTTCATGTCTAGTGAGGCATAATCCGCTGATTCCAAAAATTGAGACGCTCATGTCACAACTCTCTCTATAAACAGCTGTGATGTACTGATTCGACTCGGAACACAACCGAGCAGAATCTGACTTAGAATCGGAGCTGACTGAATGTGCTTCAGTCGGATTGGGACTGTAGAATGTGGGGTTAAATCGGATTGATCGTCTTTTCCTTTTAAATTCTATTTCAGTTCTACAAAATGTGCGTTGTTTTGACTGGTTTTTAAAATTAAGCCCGATCTTGTTTATTTGCCAGTGCTGGTAAAATTGTTATTAAGGTGAGGAAATGGGAAGGTTTGAGTTGGATATGTTCCATTTTTCGTCCACGCATGGTAATCAAAACCCCAGCTGACATGATACGTTTGTTTGAACCCCCCCCCGCTCTGAGACAAAAAAGGTTTTAAAAAGGGACGGCCGGGGGGGAATAAGAGAAAAGAACTAATTTAAAGTGAGTGCACCAATACCATTGTAAACAATGTAGGCTACGTCATACATATGTTTCATGATCGTTTCCACTTGTCCACGAATATGTGACATTATAAAAAATATCTGGCCTGACCGCCCCCCCTCCCCCGGAAAAGTTCCTGGATCTGTCCTATTGAGCCGACGCGTTTCATAGTCGGGGAGGGAAACGTGCGCCCCCGGACGACAGGAGACAAACCCGAGTGGTGGGAAAACTATTAGTAAAGTGGACGTATGAGGGCGCTCTAAAACTGTGTTTTCTTCCGGTTCGGTGGCTCCATCCCGTGGAAGGAAAATTTCCATAAAATTTTGTACTGATATGCACTACTGTATGTACTTGTGCATGCCTGTAAGGCTGTTTGCGTTGGAAACCTGGCTTGGGATTTCGTAGGCCTACCTTACAAATGCTAAAGTTGTTCCGGCGAATTATTGTGGCTTTTGTCATTGTGGTTCTTGTGGGTCTCTATTTCAAACACGTTGATAAGACCGGTACGGTAAGCTCTTAACTTGTGAACTGAGTCTGAAGTGCGGACTCAATGGCTGAGTTCGGGCGACTTGTTCTCGTTTTGTTCACGAACAGCTTGATTTGTTGTTCGTGTGTTGGTCGCTCGCTCGAACGCTGGGAATGTACAACCGGTTATTAACGCAAGTAGTTATTTGTGGCAAGCAACATGCAACGTGGCAGCGTCCTTGTGCATTCTTCGAGAGTTAATGTTGGATAACTGGGCTAACTTCTTTTCCATTTAAAAATTCATTTCTGTCATGGAAAATTATTAATGTTAATTTTGCAAAACTTTCTATTGTCTTCGGCTTT